AAGGAAGGAAGGAAGGAAGGAAGGAAGGAAGGAAGGAAGGAAGGAAGGAAGGAAGGAAGGAAGGAAGGAAGGAAGGAAGAAAAAGAGAGAGAAAGGAGGGAGGGAATGGATTAGCTCAGAAACGATGCTTGAGTTGCTGGCATACTTCCCTTCCTATCACCGGCTTTCATTCTCCTTCACTCAGCTTCTAATCACATTGACGAACCAAGGGCATCTCTGTGTTCTCTGTCAGGAGAGCCCAAAGAGCTGCTGGATCACCAGGTCCTGCTGACCCCAGAATAAAGACTCTGTAGAAGGTGGTAGTTCCTCAGTGCAGCTTGGGGACCAGTGATTAATTTGCATCATGGATCCTGTAAAGGCAAAACATAGTAGTCCACCAGAACCCCTGGACAGGGCCTCTGGGGTGTCTGCAGAACCAGACACCCAATTTTGTGAGGGCTTAGAGTTGGAAACTGACTCTTGTTTACCAAATTCACAAGAAATTGATGTACTGAATAACACGCAGCTTTTAGATTCCCTATGAAACATATGACTTACCAAAAGTTGAATTCCAGTGTCTGCCTTCCTGATAGCCAGGAACTGGAACCCAAATTAAGAATCAGAAGGCTGCTTGGTGAACAAGAACACTAGGCTATCCTCGCCCCACAGTGCAGTCTATTTTCCTCTGCCCATAGATGTCAGATACATGGACAGTACCCAAGAAACATAGTACCTGCCTCATGCTTATTTGAGTAAAAACACTATCAAATTCCTTATACCCATTCAGGCAGCAAACTTTTACTGCAGAAAGGTTCATGCCAGACACTGTGTTAGACCCAGCTCTGAAAGGGTTTACAGCCTCCTAACGGAACCAGATAAGTGAGCAAGGTTTTGATTTAGTGCTATAATAAAGATGTGCCAAAGAGGGTAGGAAGGCTGCATCCCTAGACTCCATGCACCATCTATGACCTGCTCAGTCACTAATTCTACAGATGTGAGAGCTGCCCTAGGGGAGTACCCTGGGCAGGCACTCTGCTTGTCTCTGAGTTAAACAAATTCTGATGCCTTTTTCTATACACTAACAACAAAGTATCTAAAAGAAAAAAAAGAAAAGAATACTATTCACGTGCTTCAAAAGCAATAAAACGCTTAGGAATAAATTTAACCAAGAAGGTGAAAGATCTGTACACTGAAAACTATCATACACTAATGAAAGAATTTTAAGAAGACACAAATGAATGGAAAGATATAAAATATCCATACTACCTCAAGACATCTGTAGATTCAATGCAACCCCTATTAAAATTCCAAGGACATATTTCACAAAATAGAAAAACACAATCCTAAAATATGTATAGAATAACAAAAGACCCTGAACAGCCAAAGCAATCTTGAGAAAGAACAAAGCCAGAGGCATCTCACTTCCTGATTTCAAACTAAACAGCAAAGCTATAGCAACCAAAGCAGTGTGGTACTGCCATTAAAAACAGACATACAGACCAATGGAACAGAATTAAGAGACACAAAGTAAACCCCTGAATATATGATCAACTGATACTGGACAAGAGAGCCAAGAATACTCAAGGAGGAAAAGGTAATCTTTCCAATATATGCTGTTGGGAAACTGGATATTCACATGCAAAAGACTAGAATTGTACCCTATCTCACACCACTCATAAAAAGTAACTCAAAATGCATTAAAGACTTACATGTAAGACCTGAAACTTTAAAGCTCTGAAATTAAAGAAGAAAACAGGGGAAAAGCTCCTTGACATGGGTCTTGTCAATGATTTTTTTGGATATGACACAAAAGCACAAGCAACAAAAGTAAAAATAAACAAGTGGGACAACAGAAAAAAAAACTTCTGCACAGCAAATAAAACTATCAACAAAATGAAATGGAGTGGGAGAAAATATTGGCAAACATATTTCATCTAAGGGGTTGATATCCAAAATATATAAAGAACTAATGCAACTCAACAGCAAACAACAAATAAACCAACTTAAAAATGGACAGAGGACCTGAACAGATATCATGTGCATATGTGTGTATGTGTGTAAAGGAATTTATTCTACCATAACAAAGAAAGAAATCCTGCAATTTGTATCCACATAGAGGGACCTGGAGGGTATTATATTAAGTGAAATAAGTCAGAAAGATAAACACAATGTTTTATAAACTCACCTAGATGTGGGATCTTAAAAAGAAAAAAAGCCAAATTGAAAGAATGATGGATACCAAGGTCTGGGTACTAGGGGAAATGGGGAGATGTTGGTCAAAGGGCCCAAACTTCCATTTATAAGGCAAGTAATTTTAATACTGACATCATGCTGGGGGTCTTAATGCATAGCAAAGGGGCTGTCATTAATGGTACTGTATAATATACTTGAAAGTTGCTAAGAGAGTAGACCTAAATGTTCCCACCCACCCCCAAAAAAATATAGATAGAATAATGTAAGGTAATGGATATGTTAGCCAACTTTATTGTGGTAATCACTGTGCAATACATATGTACATCAAATCATAATGTTGTATACATTAAACTTATAATATTATATGTGAATTACATCTCAATAAACCTGGAGGGAAAAAAAGTCTAATAATTCTTGGAGATACTAAGGGATATAGTCTCAGCTAGATGTACTTATAAAAACAATATTCCACTTTTCAGAGTTAACAGAAAAATTATTTGAGTCAGAAAACATCTCACATTTTACAAAGGGTTTGTAATCCTGAAATTTGATTTACACACAATCTTTTCAAATACATTCTCAATCCAGGTTTCTTTCACTGTTCATCAAATATTGATATGGATTCCATGTGCAGTTGGCTAGGGTACCAGCACCTGGTCTAAAAGGGTTGAACAAGCTTGTCTCCCAAGGTTCCCCAGGCCCACCAGGAGCCTGCACTCTCACACTATAGCATTTCCTCTGCCCCATCCTAGGGAGGTCAAGGGTCTCCCCAGGGCTCCTATATTTGACTCTGAGCTCCCAACATAGAGAACAGCCCCTTCAATCCACCCTGGGAGAGTTACTTTCTCTACATTACACCCATTAATCCATCTCCAAGTGCGAAGTCTCTTAAACTTAGGTTCAGGAACAAGGGAGTGACCCCATACCTGTGTGTGCATATCAGTGTGTCCTCCACTTTGTCCCAGAGATCCTAAATTAAACCATTCTTCTAATCTAGGAAAATCCCATATTTTAATACCGACATCATCTGCATAACAGTTGTCAGATAAACAACGCACATTTCTCTGATGACACGTTTGCAGAAATGTGTCATAGCTGGCTGCCCCTCACTGTCCCAAGGACTGGAGAATTATTTCACTCTACCTTCTCCCAGAAGTTCCCATCAATCCTCTTTATGTTTTCCTTTTTAAATTGGTTGTGAAATAACTAGGCAGTTGGGGAAATTTCTCAGCTCCCTACTTCTGCTTTTGAAGGCCATAAAAGAGCAAGAGAGGAATTGGCAGCAGTAACCTCTTCGAGGCACAGCAGACCCCTCCAGGATTCTGTTCTCTCCAGTCAGTCTTTCTCGCTCAGGTACAACTCTAACCTTTCCTTATAACTAAGTCCTAAGGGAGTCTCTCTGTCTCTTTCTCTTTCTTGCTCTCTTCCTCTCTGCCTGAAGTGTGGGCTTTCTGCAAAAATGCCAAATGTACTCTTACGCTATGCTTTGGGAAATATGGTGGGAACGAATACCACATCTCTAGCAGCTGACAACTGAGTGATCAATATTAAAGCTTCTCCAAAAGATCTCCTAACAAATGCACTCCTGATTTGGGTGGGTTAGCAAATGTTTTCCTCTGGACGTAAAGGAAGGCTCTTCCATGCATTCACTCATTCGTTCAAAGATTGTTTCTTTGCATGCCTACCACATCCTAGGTGACAAAGGAGACACACACGTGAAGGCAGCCCTCATGGGCATGGGCACGGCGAGTGGTCACCCAATTTCTGTTCTTTACACAGGTTTCTGTGGGAGCCATGGCAGCAGTACCTGAACTGGCCAGTGAACAGATGGAGTACTACAGGTCAGTGGGAGACAGAACAGCGATGTGAGCAGAGTTGTCTGTGCTTGCAGATCAGGTTTGCCCCCTATATTGCCTCTTTCTGCGGCAACCAGAGTTCCAAGTTAACCTAGCTTAGAGATGATTTCCCACCCCAAATCCAGCCTTGGTACCCATAGGCCATCCAGACGCTGTTGCTGCAGGAGCTCCTTGCCTATGGCAACAGGAAGAAAAGATTCCATGAGGTCAATAGATGGGACCCCTCACCAGGTTTGGCTTGAGTGAGAGGGAAAACTCAGACTTTAACCAGGCTGGAGGTTAGGTCTCAGGGGACACCAGGGGTATCAAGCCCTGCCTCCTATGCAGTTCCATGCATATCACCACAGAACTGCCAGCTCCTGGCAGCTTCAAGAGACTTGCTGTTTGCAGTTTCTTCTTAATAGTGAACACTGTCTACAGGGAAGGAAAAATGAACTTGTCTAGGAGACATAACTGAGCAATCTCTCTGTTTTTATTACAGTGATGAGAATGACCTGCTCTTTGAGGTCGATGGCCCCAGACAGATGAAGGTGAGATCATGGGGGGCTCTGACATGGGAAAGACTCGGGAGAAGGGTTCCGGGCCATGTTGTTCCTGTGGCATCTTGTGGTGGACTGACTTCCTCCTCTCCTAGTGAGGCAGCTGCCAGCTGCTCTGCATGCTGACCCCGCCCTGACGCAGTTCCCTCTCAGCTGGAGCCCCTGCTCTGGGCAGGAACGCCTCAGACACTGGGCTTCCCCTGTGCTGTCAGAGGCCTCTTTAACTGTCCTTCCAGCTTTTAGACTATTATCGTGCCTCAGGGCAACTTCAGCTAAGCCTTAATACAGTTATATAATTTCTCTGGATAATGGGAAAGTGGGAACACACCTCACAAAGAGTAACCAAACCACTTGTAATGTATTTGCTGAATGCTTATGAGACATTGTTCTGCCAAAAAAAAAGAGAAAAGAACAGAAAGAAAGAAAACGAACTTGCACAGAATAACTAAAAACTTGTGGAATGAGCCTAGATGTATAGAAAATATCATGATCATCATTCCCATGAGAAATTAAATGCAAAGTACCAGAGCATTAGAGATGCAAAGACAGATAAAGTGTAAGAAAGTATATGGTTTAGTGGAAAGTATAGAGAAAAGGTAAACAAGAGTTTGCTTATTTATCTTTCATCTAACATAGGTTTTTTCCCCTAAAAGAATACCATAGAGGGCATCAGAAAGCCCACATTGTGGTTTTGGGTCTACCTCTAACTTGCCACATGCCCTTGAGTAAACCACTCCACCTCTCTGCAGGTCAGACAGATGAGAGTTCATCCCTGGACGCTCGGTTATCTCTAAGGCCCCTTCCACCTCTTTGGCGGCCAAGCAGGAGTTCTCTGGTTCACCCGCCTTCACACGCTCACGTCCTGCATCTCTCCACAGTGCTGCTTCCAAGACGTGGACCTTGCCTGTCTGGGCGACGAGGGAATCCAGCTGCAAATCTCCCACCAGCTCTACAACAAGAGTTTCCGGCAGGTGGTGTCCGTCATCGTGGCTGTGGAGAAGATGCGGAAGATGCCAATTCCCTGCTCACAGGTCTTCCAGGATGATGACCTGAGGAGCCTCTTTTCCTTCATCTTTCAAGAAGGTACTATATGAGCTAAGCGCAGACATATCTTTGGTCATTTCCTTCTCAGAGTCCATAACTCAGCCCTCAGCCTAACTCCCAGAGGGCACAGCGATGAGAGAAAAACAGAGAAGCCTAGGAACTAAATGAGTCATCTCTTTAGCTGAAACTGCTCTTATAATAAGACCTTGATAACTGCTTACATTTGCAAACCACTCAGCCATTCTCAGAGCATTTTCCTTACATTGTCTACTGCCTCCCATTTTCCCTGTGGGGCCATGTTACTGCCATTGCCAGTTTATGTAGCAGCTCTATTGCTAGTCCACAGCAAGCAACAGAGCTGAAGCCTGAACCCACGTCTTACGGAGCCAGGTCCAGGGCTCTTTTCCACCCCAACTTCTTTCCCCCAATGCAATACTCAAACTTCGGCTGTGCATGCTCAGATGCCCTCCAAGAAACCAAATCCTGCTGCCTCCCATCAGGCCTGCCCTTCCAATTTTCTGCCTAATTAATAATATATGTGCTCCATATTTCAGAGCCTGTCTTCTGTACATGGGATGATGATTATGTGTGTGATGCGCCCCCGCAATTCCTGAACTGCAGACTCCGGGATATAGACCAAAAGTGCCTAGTGCTGTCTGGCTCGTATGAGCTGCAGGCGCTCCACCTCAATGGACAGGATGTGAACCGACAAGGTAACTGGGGACATCTTGACTCCTTTCCTGGCCTCCTGGCAGCTTGCTAATTGTCCACATTTTCAACAAAGCAGAGTATTGAGGCAAATTGTCAACCTAAGAGACAACACATGTAATAAAGAACATAAAAAACTTTGCTTGGGTCCTAGGAAGGACACCGCACTGATTCCCTTAACCCATTCATTTCTCCACAAGAGACGGGACTCTGAGACATTAGACCGCCCCAGCACACCCAGGCCCATTGTCCAGCCAAGTCATTTAATGATGGTGTAACACCCATGCTCCATTAGAAAGCGATCATTAGACCTAACTGCCTGTGGGTTCTTTTTTCCTGCTGATGAGGTTGAAATAGAATGGGGAAGAGATAATGCATCCGTTCTCATTCCCAATCCTGCCCCCCTGCCCTTAGTATGCTTCCTGCCCAATACCAGATGGTCCCTTGCAGGGAAATTTCACTGACAAGCAGGAACTGATACCGCTCCACTGTATCTGGAAAATGTTTCAAGTCTGGAGAGCCCATTAGCTGTGGGAATCTGCCTGGCACCTTGCCACTGTGACAGAACCCTCTATGTCGGGGTGCAGCCAAGGGAGTGGCTGAAGGGAGCAGCCTGCTCTCTTCTAAGGCTGCTGACCTTGGAGTGAGGCATCACCGGGGGGAGGCTTTCCACTCCCAGCCAGGCCAGGATGATCCTGCTTTTCTAGAACTGGGTTGTCAGTGTGACCTCGGGGGCTGCAAGTGAGACCAAGGCAGATTAAATAAATGGCTCTCCTGGGAGCCGCATTTCTCAGCTAAGCTTCTCTACTCTTGAGTCCTTACAACTGCTGCTCTGCACTCCTGAAACAGATTTGTGTCTGATTTCTTTCAGAAGCACTGCTCTGCTGCTTCTTCCTTTTCACATTCTTCAAATTGTTCTGCTCACACACAGCACGTCACCAGCCACGACAAGGTGGCTTCCTTCCCTCCTTCAGTTTTTAAAAATTAGACCCCCTAATTCCTCTTTGCTACTGTGAAGAGGTTCTGAGGAACCCCCAGACCTTCAACGGGGAAAACCTAAACCGACCACCTTTCCCTGCTCTTCTCTGTGAGGAGCCAAGTTACCCTGCCTATTAGACCACAGCAACCCAGGGTAGGTTTCCAAAGAGGATGCCCAATTATGCGAGTCCTGGGCACAGAGTCCAGTTGGGCCTACACGACTGTGTGTCCCTGACCGCAAGCCCTCTCCTTTCTCCAGTGGTGTTCTGCATGAGTTTTGTGCAAGCAGACGAAAATAACGACAAGATACCTGTGGCCTTAGGTCTCAAGGAGAAGAATCTGTACCTCTCCTGTGTGATGAAAGACAGCAAGCCTACCCTGCAGCTGGAGGTGAGTGAGCACCAGGGCTGAAGGCCCTTTGCAGCCCCTCTCGGGCTCCTCTGAGCACCATCTGTTGCCTCTAAAACAGCCACCTTCTCCTACCACAGAAAACCTGGGAGCAGATCTACTTGACAATTTTGCATAAATGTAAATAAACATAATTATTAAACCTATGTGGACTTTCACGTCCACCCCAGAAAATTAAATCATTCTGTGAATGTTATTACATCCTGCCATTTTTACCGCCCAACAGATTATACCATTATGGTTGTCCTATTTGATAAATGACCCTTTGGGAACTTAAGCAATTCAAGGGGCCCATTACCTAGCATCATCTCCACTCCACCCCCAGATCATCCTCGTCCACAGCTTTCCCAGCAAAAGCTCCATTTCCAAGTTGAAGTCGCTCAAGCCATGGCCTTCAGAAAAAGTATAGCGATAGTGCCTGGATATATATAAAAGTATAGCGATGTACTCTGAGAAGCTTTAACCTAATGTTCACTTTAAAAAAAGAAATCCCACCTGTATTATGCTCCCCAGCATTGATGCTAAGCTGCAGAAAAGAATAAAGCCTCCTTTAGTCACCACAGAAAGTTGGGGTCACCGAGATAACTCAGGAATCATGCTGCTGGCCCTGTGAGCTGCTCCTCAGCTTCCCCTCCGGCCGAACCAAAGAACATCTTTTGCAGAGCACCTTAACCCTTCTCTCACAAAAACCCTTCTTTCTGTTTTGCTGCAGATGGTGGACCCCAAGAAGTACCCAAAGAGGAAGATGGAAAAGCGCTTTGTCTTCCACAAGACTGAAATCAAAGACAAGGTGGAATTTGAGTCAGCCCAGTACCCCCACTGGTATATCAGCACCTCCCAAGCAGAAGAAATGCCTGTCTTCCTAGGAAGCACCAGAGGCGGCCAGGATATAACTGACTTCACCATGGAAATCTCTCCCTAAAGAGGGAGGTCCCCATAGAGTCAACGTGCGCTGAATCACCCCAGAGATGGCCGAAGGGCGGTGGAAGGTTTTGAACAAGGCTGCAGGGCCGAACTTCACTGTAGTCTAGTCATGACCCTCCGCCTTCCCTGTATTAGTGCTACCGAGACCTGCCCAGCCCAGAGGAGCCGCCCCCTCCTCCCAGAGCCGATCCTCAGGCCCCCCCTGCGGAGCCGGGTCCCTCTTACCCCTCCCACTCCCTCAAAGCCAGCCTGGTGGAATCCTTGGTTCAAAGAAGCCTTCTGTTGTTTGTGCTCAGCCTCTGATGAGCAACCACTTACCTATTTATTTATTTATTTATTTGATGGGTTAGTCTATTTAATTTAATTCAAGGCAGCCAAGAAGAAGCAGGTACCTGTGAAGGAACCCAGCCTTCAGGTGCTGTGGAACCAGTCGCTGTGGACTCCTGGGCCATCTTTCCATCAAGCTCCTTCACCACGGCTGAAAGTCTATGTGCTCAGAGGGCTTGAACAGGAGTATTTGTGAGTGAAGAAGTACGATCACACTGCTTCAATGATTCTGAAATAAACTTTACTGAAAAAAAATTGTTTTTCTAGTGATAATTGGCTTTTCTTGGATCTAATTCAGAATAGTAAAGTTACATGGGGCTGTGAGAGCTCTCCTTTGGGAGCTAGAGGGCAGCCCCTGTCCTCACCACGGAGTTCTGCAGAGTTTCTAGAACATTGCAACCAGCAGAGATGAGCTGCCTGCTCCTCCCCTTCATTTCTGCTTCTCAACAAGAGGATATTTGGTGCACGAGGTTCACCTGAAAAACAGGGAGTAAGGGTTGGTGCCACCAATTTCTTATTCCTTTATTCAACAAACATGAAGCAAATGCTGTGTGCTAGCAGCTGGCTGTTCAGAAAAAAGAAAACAAGGGTCCTAGTTAGATGAGACAGGCAGACATGCACAAGCGAAAACAAGGCAATGTGACCAGCAGGAGTAAAGTACAGCATGCAGGAGCAGCTGGGAGAAGAGGCCAGATCTGCTGAGCACAGGGGTCAGGGAAGTGACCGATGAGTCAGGCCTCAAGAGACAAGCAGGGGTTCCCCACAGAGAAAACAAAGGAAACGATGCTCTCAGCAGTGGGACCAGAGGGCATGAAGGCTTGGAGATACAAGAGTAAGTGATGTAAGCAGTTAACACTCAGCATTGCAGGAGCCACCACGGGCAAAGTCAAAACATAAAATGACCCAAGGAAACATATTGGTAACTCGTATCTCAGACAAAGGGATCATTTTTTTAAGAATTAAAGAGCTTCCTCAAAACATTAGAAAAAGCAAGAACAAAAATCCAGCAAACCAGCTACTAATATGATCTCCACAGCAAAGGAAATGCTATTAAATCTTGGGGTGAGTGAAAGATGCACTCTGCACTTTGAAATCCAGTGTTCTCCTATCAGACTATCAAAAGTTTTAGCGACACGCCACGTTGGGAAGACTGTGGGGAAACCCCCAGGCTTAGACGTTACAGGTGGGAATATAAATTGGAACCAATTTAATATGGACTCTTGTGCCATCTTTATGTCAAGTTTTTTCACCAAGGCTGAAAATATATAAGTTCAGATTGTTTAAATAGGAATATTTATGAATGAGAAAGTATGATCACACATCTATTGAGGTTGATACAACTCCTATAGAGGAAAATTTGATAATAACTCTGAGAATCACACATGCAAATCCCCTTTGCAATTTCACTTTTGGGGATTTATCCTACAGATGGATGTACAGACATATGAGATGACACATGATCAAGATTATTCATTGCACACCACTCATGATAGCAAAACACTGAAAATAACCTGTGTCTATCAACAGAAGACTAGATATATGACTTATGGGACATCCATACAATGAAATGCTATTCAGCTATGAAAAAGAAAGAGAGCGTGTTCTGCAGCAATATGGAATCCTCTCCAAGTTATGCTGGTAACTGAAAAAGAGCAAGAGGCAGACAGTGTTTACAGAGTACTGACTTTTAGTAACAAAGGGCAGTGAAAGAAAAATAAGGCAATATTTTCCAATGTGCTTGTATTTGATTTTGAAAATTCTGGAAGACACATAAGAAATTTTAAAAGCAGCTGTGAAGCGGTGGGAGATAAGATACAGGGGCACAGAGGTGGGAGCTGTACATTTCTCCAGATACTTTTTACACAGTTTGACTTTGGAATCATGTGAGTCTTTCACCTACTCAGCAATAAAAAGGTAATAATTTCTTAAAGGCTTTTTTGTCCAAATGAAAAGCATAGGACTTACTTGGGGAAAAACAACTGCTGAAATGTGCCAGTCCTCAGTGGCTCACTTCCAATACCCTCTCTCATCCTCCACAGTTCACCAAGCTGGGGCACAGGATATGGACAGAGACCCTACACCCCAGCAGAGCCCCATCCCCCAGTTCCATCAGCTTCATAACTGCTGTGGAAAGGACAGGACAGTGGCCAGGATCAGGCACCCAATATTGCAGTGCCCATTCTGCAATATGTAATTGGGCTGGTGGGAGGCAGGCAGCTGTCTGGGGAAGAAAGCAGAAGTGTCCCGGGGAGCCTCAGCAGCGATACTGTCTCCTGCCACCCCTTCTCCTTGGTTGAGTGGTACAATGCCACCTACCTCTTTCAGGTCCAAAAGGGAGGACACACCAGAAAGAATGACAAACTGTGAAGCCACGTTACTTTGTGAGCAAGCGGGGCTCCAAATCCCCTATGCGAAGGTAAACTGGCACAGCTATTTTTGAGAGAAACTTGGCAGAGTCTGATGTCTTATGACTCAGCAATTCTACTATTTGGTGTCTTCCCTAAAGAAACAAGTTCAAGGACATTTGCTTTGGAACTTTTCATAAAATGTTTAACAAAATAAACTGGAAATAGGCGGAGAAAGACAAGTATCAAATGATTTCACTCATCTGTGGAGTAAAAGAACAAAGAAAAAACTGAAGGATCAAAACAGCAGCAGACTCACAGAACCCAAGAATGGACCAACAGTTACCAAAGGGAAAGGGACTGGGGAGGGTGGGTAGGAAGGGAGGGATAAGGTCGGGGGGAGGAGAAGAAAGGGAGCATTATGATTAGCATGTATAATGAGAGGGGCATGGGGAGGGCTGTACAACACAGAGAAGACAAGTAGAGACTCTATAGCATCTTACTATGCTGATGGACAGAGACTGTAATGGGGTATGTGGGGGGGACTTGGTGATGAGGGGAATCTAGTAAACATAATGTTCCTCATGTAATTGTAGATCAATGATACCAAAATAAAAAAATAAACTGGAAATAACCTCAATGTCCATGGATAGGGAAAAGATTAAACAAGCCATGGCGAGTTAAAAAGAAAAAAAAGGTAACACTGTTGAAATGGAAAGAGAGCCAGGCAAACCACTGACGGAGTCAAGCTGCAGAGCAGTAAGTCAGGATGAGACCATTGGCGTAAAAGAACAAAGCGCTGCCCGTCCCAGATGCATCGCCGCACGCTTCCAAGAGCATGTAAGACAGGGAGCTCTGGCAGGGTGCTGATCTCCCTGAAAATAGTGGTTATGTGGGGTGAGGCAGGCAGGGGAGGGGGTCATCAGGAAGAACTTTCATTTTATTTATAATGTTTGGATTTTTTTACAAGAAGAATGTATTTGTGAATTATTTGTATAATTTTATTTTCAAATCCTCTGCATTAAAATGTTCAAAAGGCCTAGGTTTCAATTCCTGGATCTGAGCCAAAGACAAAAATTGACCCTCCGAGGGCTTCTCTAATCCTGGTTTAGGGTCAAGTTCTTTCCCTGAATAGCTCTCCCTTTATCTGCATCAGGTGTCCTTATCCTAGAAGAGAGAAATGGCCTGTTTCTAAATAGAAGGGTTCAGATGGATTAAGTGGGAGAACTAGAACCCTCCTCACATTCATCCAAGTGCATGAAATACAACTGGAAGTAGGAAGTCTTCCCAACAGGTTGGAAGGTGGATCTGTCCACACCTCCGGCAGGTAACTCACCACACCACAACAGCTCCCAGCAGCTTTCAAGGAGATCTCTGGACACTAGGAGGCAAGTGGCTCGTGAATCTGACTTGATGTTTCAGAACCTGCGGCAGGCAGTCCATAGGGTTAGGCTGTAACTTGTCCTGTAAACTTGGGTTGGAGTAAGCAAGTGCCTGGTCAGAGAGGGAGATAATACAATGGCATGTGTATCTGGTCTGGGGGTGGGTGGCTGCTACAATGTCCTTGTCGGATACGGAAAGGTAAGTCAGTGTACCTTCCACGCAGACCTCGTCCCCACCCCATTCCTCATCCCCCAGTATAGCCTTGCTAAACTACCCACAAATATCTGGTTCAAGGTTCAACTGGAAACCACGTGAAGACAACCTAGAAAGCTGGTGTGGTGCCTGCACAGGGGTGTGGGGCCACGGTTGGAACCTCCTCCCAGTTGCTCTCACATCTCACCCACATCCTGGCTCCTAAATTGGCACCTTGGACACAAGCTGAGGTTTTTGCTTTTCTCCCTGGGAAGCCCAGAAGCACTGCTTTTCTTATGTGTATAAGCTTGCTTGTTTGCTTACATGAGTAATCATGAAAGTCCTAACCCGTCAGAGAGAAAGTCATAAAACCATAAAATGAAATGCAGCACATGAACCAGGTAGGGCTGGGAGGGCAAGGGGCTGGGCTGCTCTCTCAAAGCAGGGGCCCTCGGTCTCTGAGTGGGAGTCCCAGCCACTGGCTGAGCATCCTGATGCTGGCACCACCGAGGGAAGCACCTGCCAGAAAGGACCACATAGCCTGCTCACAAAGGCTGGGTTGGGATAAGCCCGGAAACAGGAGCGTGTGGAATCCAGACACAGACAGGAGCATCTATACACACTGGACATTAAAACAAAATGTATCAGGAACACCCAGAAGAGGTAGAGAGCATGGGAGCTGAGCCTCAGTGCCCTCCCAGGCTTGGGGATGAGACCCTTGTCCCAAATGGGTAAGATCCTCCTGATGTGCCATCCACCATGGGCCTCAGTGCCAGAGCAGCAAGTCCAGTTTCCTCCCCAGCAGGTCGTTCCAGGGCCCTAATCCTTGTAGGATCACAGTCTTTCAGCTTACGTATCACCTACAAGAATTTTGAAAAACTGTGATGACCTCACCTCTTTGCCAACACACATGTTTCAAGCTAAAAATCTAAAAATTTTTCATCATAAGTTTAAATAGTTAATTGCAAATGTTGCCACCTCTGGAGTATTGTAAATTTGACATTTTAAAATAAAACTGTCACATCAATTTTGTAAACATAGCCAATGAAAGCCCAGTACTGTAGTGACTGTTTTCTACTGTTATCCATCTAAAAATTACATGAACAAATTCTTCTAACAATCAGAAAATGTACAATATTCCTTTCTCTCCTTCACTGATGTTTCTATTAATTTTCCTCAAGAAATTTTACGCTAATGTTAGTATATCTTACATTTAAAAGCATTTCACTGATCATTGTATGAAACTTCTTTGCATCAATAAAATGTGTTCAATTAAAGCTTATTTATTATATTTTTATGTAACCATAGGATGTTAAATTTTTTTTTAATACGCCTGGCTTCAGTCATCATTACAATTATTATTAGTATGCAATTGATCAAAACATCATAAACATACAAACATAATACACTACAAATCTTCATTTTTATTAGTGACATACCTTGATGAGGTAGAGCTTTTAAAAATTATTTCATATTTATGTACTGCTCAGAATAAGGGCTCAACATCAATCCTATTGTTATTTTGGCTTTTTAAAATGTAAGTGCTGGGAAAAC